AATAAATAAATAAATAAATAAATAAATAAATAAATAAATAAATAAATGGGCTGCATTCTATATAGCACCTAGGGTCTATAATTCAGGTTGCTGCTTTTCTCAAAAAAAAAAAAAAAAAAAGGTGAGGAAGAACACAAGCCCATCTTAAAGGTGGAAGTCAGTGGGCAGTAGAAGCCAAAGGGGAAGCTTTCCAGGGGCCCAAAGAGGTCTAGATAGCTAGAATAATCCATCTGTTTTTTGAGAAAGGCCTATGAGGCCAGGTACAAGAATCCATTCTGAATTATTCTGCCATATGAACATACAAAGTCCAAATTGCCTCTGGGGAGATTTAGAATGATTAGACGATAATGATTCCCTCATTTATTTTGGCCAAAATGTTCCTCTTCCTGAACCACTCAAGAGTACAGTCTGCTCACCATGGACATAGGAAAATATTTATTTTTTCTGATTATGGATACTGTAGAGTTATTAATATAAATGTATACTTTACGGAGCCTCCCATTTTGATGAATCACTTACAGACTCTTCCCACAAAATAAATAAAACCTTTAACAAGGCTGAATGGGGCTTTCCTGTTTTCTTAATATTCGCCCCTCTTATTTCCCATACTGACGTTAGCTTTTCAAGACAAAACTCAGCACTGAAAAGCATATATTTTGTTGTATGGCAATGTGTCCTGTCTAGTCAAAGCCTCTGTCAAACCTAACAAAGCTTTTACACATCAAACCTTACTATAAGTCATTCAATTTTTTCCCTACTCTCCCTCATGGGTTCAGAAACAAAGCAATGGCTGCTACAGATTTTTCCAACATTCAAAGGTGTTGAGTATCATACTTCGCTAAAAGTTCTTATCAACTTTTCAATGGGAAATATTTCCAATTTCCAACAAATATATTTATATATATATATATATAAATAAATAGAGAGAGAGAGAGAGAGAGAGAGAGAGAGAGAGAGAGAGAGAGAGAGAGGCTTATTAAATGAGCAACTTTATAAATATGAATAAATAATTTGTGATGGTATAATTTGGATTATATTCCATAATATTATTTTAATATGGTTCAATATAAATAAAAAACAGCTTGAAAGCAATGCATATTAAAATGCAATTTGCATTTTCATTTGACAAGTCACCAAGCATTTCTATGGTTTTAAATACTCACACTAAACGCTCTTCTTCTTTTTTGCGAAGATCCAAGTCCCGCTGAACTACTTCCCAAACATGTTTGGCCTCTTCATCTGTTAACCTGGAAAGGTCGAGCTTCTTTCCCATTTTTAGAAAGTAAAACCCCTAAAACTGAAATAAAAGTAAGATAAATGTAATCAAATTGGACATGCCTACAATTTATTTTGAGATATTTGGGTTTTTTCCAAGGCACATTTAGTGTCAGCTCTAATTGGTTCAGCTTGGCGCCTCACAGGCATCCTGCCATCTAAGGCTAGAAGGGAGGGAGGAGGATGGAAGAGCAATAAAGTTGTGTGTGTATATGATGGGAAATTGGGAAGGGGGAATGACAGGTGATAAAGACCAAAGCATCCAGATCCAGTTTGTACCAGCATCCCAAGGCCGTGTACCTTGAGAAAATATGTGGATTACCCCCAAACGTCTCAGCATTTTCAAAACATGCAACCAACACCTTCAGTAAAAGAACCCTTTGCTTTAATCGAATGGAGTCAAGGGTCTGTCTTTCCTAAGGGATCAGATTGGGGCAGGTCTGACATTTAGTTTTTGTTTAAAACTGTTTAGATTTACAGGAAGCGTTCATTCTATAAAGGTAAATATAGTGCTTTCTCTGAATAATGTAGAAACTAGTTTCTACTTAGGATGAGTTAAAGAGAGAACTATCTTCTTTTAGAGCTGCCAAAATCTATGTATGAATAATCACTTGTAATGGATGGACAAATGGAAAAAGACTGAAAATGTTTATTCCAGCAATATATAGAATCTGTCCTTCCAAAAAGAAGTTGGTGACATTTTCCAAAAATAAATTTTAGTTGTCACTGGGCATTTAAATAAGCTTTGCCATAATTTTGTCTGTAATATAATTCAGTTAATCAGAAATAACTGGCAGGACTACAAAGGTAAAGCAAAGGGAATGAAGAAAAAAGATGTATATTCCAGGGAACTGTGGATGGAGAAGGTAATCTCCTGAATAGCTACTTTTTTAAAGGTGTATATATAATAAGAGCTGCCATTTGCCTGCTCTGAGTGGCTACTTCTAGCAGAGCAAGCAGACACTATGGAAGAAATATAAGGAAGCCAATTTCTAGGGAACAAATTCACTCAGCAAATGGAGAGCTAACAGGATTTTGACAATAAAATTCAGCATGGAAACTCAAGTATGAGATATCTAAGAAATTTCCATTTAAGGTAACAGCACAAAAGACAGAAGAGAAAATAACTGGAGGACACTGTGCAGATATGAGGTACAAAACCTGTGGAACATTTTTTCTTCTTATCTTGAAAGAATGAAGTATGCATATTCAGTAAATATAAACACATTATAGTATTCAAAAAATTGAATATAGTAAATATACCTGAGCTATAAATGAGGATAGAAGCCTTTAAGATTGTGATACAAATAGTCCTCAACTTATAACAATTCATTTAGTGACAATTCCAAGTTACAACAGCACTGAAAAAAGTAAATTACGACTATTTTCCATATTTACGACCGTTGCAGCAACCCGTGACCATGCGACCAAAATTCAGATACTTGGCAAATGACTCATATTTATGACGTTTGCAGTATCCCAGGTTTATGTGATCACCTTTTGTGATCTTCTGATAAACAAAGTCAATGGGGAAGCCAGATTCACTTAACAATCATGTTACTAACAACTGCAGTGATTCACTTAACGACTGTTAAGAAAGGTCGTAAATTAACAAATGTCTTAGCTAGCAAGAGAAATTTTGGGCTCAATTGTGGTCGTAAGTCAAGAACTACCTGTGTATGAGGTGACAAAAAAGAGCAAAACAGACGTATGGTCTCAATAAATAAGAATGAGAAACAGATTCAGAAGAAGGTTTACCAACTGGAACTCAAGGAAAGCTTTTAGTTAAAGAAGAAACAAGGGGAATAACTAGAGCCCTACTGAATGTGAAATAAGATGAGTTGGTGTTACATTCCAGAGTTGGGGCGACAAAAATTTTGATGGTCAGTAACAGAATAACAGAGTTGGAAGGGACCTTGGAGGTCTTCTAGTCCAACCCCCTGCTTAGGCAGGAAATCCTACACCACCTCAGACAAATGGTTATCCAAACTCTTCTTAAAAACTTCCAGTGTTGGAACATTCACAACCTCTGGAGGTAAGTTGTTCCACTGATTAATTGTTCTGTCAGGAAATTTCTCCTTAGTTATAGGTTGCTTCTCTCCTTGATTAATTTCTACCCATTGCTTCTTGTCCTACCCTCAGATGCTTTGAAGAATAGCTTGACTCCCTCTTCTTTGTGGTAGCCCTTGAGATATTGGAACACTGCTATCATGTCTCCCCTAGTCCTTCTTTTCATTAAACTAGACACACCCAATTCCAGCAACTGTTCTTTATATGTTGCATTCTTTCTAGAGAAGGACTGTCAAACTTGAGGCATCACGTGCTGGCCATGCACATGCCCAGTTTAATGAAGGGGGAAAAAGTCATAATACGTCACGTGACGCTGCTGTGACGCCGTGAGTTTGACAACCCTGTTCTAGAGTCTCAAACATCTTTTTTACATCATGGTGACCAAAACTGGATGCAGTATTCCAAGTGTGGCCTTACCAAGTATTAACACTTCACGTGATCTTGATTCTATCCCTGTGTTTATGCAGCCTAGAATTGTGTTGGCTTTTTTGGCAGCTGCAGCACACTGTTGGCTCATATTTAAATGATTGTCCACTAGGACTTCGAAATCCTTCTCACAGTTACTACTATTGAGCGAGGTACCACATATACTGTACCTGTGCATTTTTTTTCCTGCCTAAACGTACAACCTTACTTTTTCATCATTACATTTCATTTTGTTAGATAGCTCCCAATGTTCAAGTCTGTCAAGATCCTTTTGTATCTTAAGCCCATCTTCTGGAGTGTTGGCTATTTCTTCTGTATC